AAAAATCCGAGTGCCTGCCACAGATCATGTCAGTGGAGCATCACTGGCAGGCCCACAGATGGAAACAGAATGAGAGACACCAGGCAAAATCCTGGGTTTCAGAACCTCACTCTGATTTAGCTGAGTGCAGCAAGAGTCAAGTAAGAATGAACTAAAATTTAAAAAATCCTGGGAGCTTATTGCTTCTGATCAAAACTGGCCTCATGTTCTGAGAGGCAATATGGGGAATGTTGAAAATGAAGAAATTAGCAGAAAGCACTATAACATCTGTTCCCACCCGTTCCTCCATTATCAGTAACGGCATTTTCTTCACCCCTCTCCTTAGCCAGCCAGCCAGCCATTTGTAATACCAAAGAGAACACCTTAGCTTGTTCCCCTTCTGACATGGCAGTGTTCAGACAGCACATATTTTAACAGGATTCAAAGACTCTGGGTTGTGCAGCCATCTGGGATTTGGAGCTTCCTGTCAGCAGAAATAGATCTCTTTGCACTCAGAGTACAAGAACTGACCACTTGAGCTAAAGCAGCACTAGCTCTGTGTGGCGCACAGCATGCCGAGGGCAGCTCTGCTCCCACACAATAGTAACTGGTGGTGCAGATACGTGTGAACTGAACAATTCAATGCAATATCACATTTCTGGCTGAGATTTTTTTTTCATATTTTGGGTTTCCTACAGTGGATTATTTTGAATCCAACTTTACTGCCTGATCTGTTTACTGGTTAGGATGTTTATTTTTCCTGAAGAACAGAAAAACAATAAATGTTTTATGAAAGCAGCGTAAGAACAAAGTATGGAAAATCAAAGGAAAATCCTAAAATGAACTCTTCTTGCCCTAGGGCAGAGAACATGGCTGTATCCTAGTGTTCCACTCATGTGGGGAAGTTCTGTTTCTGTGAAATGTTACACATGTGCCAAGTTGCTGCAGATATCTGAACAACCCTTTCTTTGTATTTCTGTATGAGTTGGTGATCAGTGTGATCAATGCAGAGCACAGCACAGTCCCAAGCCTGCAGGCACATAGGTTGGGAGTCTGTTGACATCTATGTTGTGATGCCCTCAGGTTTTGTCCCTTGTCTGCTCCTGCCTCTCCAAAAAAAGGCACAGATCTCATGAAGAGCCTGTGTTCCATGCCAGCTTTGTGCAGATGTCTTGGATACATAGGACACCTAAACCAGCCGTAGACACCTATGGTTAGGCAACAGAATACTCACTTGTACTGTATCCATTCAAGCATCTGGACTGTTTAGGCAATGGTAAGACAAAGCCTTTAGATTTCAGGCAGGATGATTTCTCACCTTCTTAGCTATCTGTATGCTGCTGGCCTTGTGTGGAGCAATACTCTCAAACATAAGTAGTAGTGTGTAATAAACTCACAGGGAAGAGTTCCCTAACACATTCACTTATATGGTCAGAAATGTCTCAGCAAGAAAGCTTGAAAGTCATTTAGCCATCACCATGGAGCACTAGCAGACCTCAGAAGTCCAGCTTCTTGGGCACAGAGTCTTGCAAGACAGCAGACATGCAGTGGGTGGTTATGCACACAGTGGTCAGTCAGCTGCCATCCAGACAGACCTGAGCTGTGTTTGTCACCATTCTCTATGCTTGTAACCACTGAGCGCTTCCAGGTCAAGTGACAAAGTGCTAATTAGAACACAGCGGCATGAGGGGAGGGAAGTTTCTGCTTGCTCACTGATACACGTAACTGCGAGCCAGGCTCTGTCCCTGGCTCCACTGCTTGTTCCATCACAAGCCTGATTAAAAGCCCTAGTGATGGAGATTTGAATTGGAATCTGGAAGGCAATATCCATAAAATCCCTGAGGCCCTTTTCAGATATCCACATGCTATCAAGTAATCAACAAACCATTTATGTAACCCTTAAGTGCTCCATCGTTCTGGCACCTTGCCTATAAAATTCCTCCTATGTGCAGAGAGCGGCCGCCTGAAGCTTTCAGGATCCTATTCTGCTAAGCAACTGTTTAACACTCAGACATTGTGAGACCAAGTTTTTGTGGATTCTGGGGACAGTAACTCTACTCTGCTTCCATCACCTCATCTGGGGAGGGGTGAATTCACGATTTTTTACACAAAAAGTATCTCTGATGGTCCCCTTGGCATTGTTCAACTTCCATGTTCCCAAAGGAGCTTAATCTCAGCAAAGCAAAGAAGGGCAGGAGACAACTGCAAGGCTTTTGGCCAGTAAAATCATTCCAAATCCTTTTGCACCTAGATTTGAAGAGCTTTTAAATCCAGGAGGGCTCACAAAATGCAATTTGGCCTTTGCACGGTTTCAACAATGAGCCATAAAACTAACACCCTGGACCAATTCTAGTCTCTGTTCACATGAATTTACCCATGCACCAGTAACTCTAATGTAACTCCATGAAAGCCAATCAAGGGGTGAAGCTTCCACACTGAAATTACTAAAGAAAGGAACTTCTGTCATGCCAGACTGCAAATGAACCTTAGGGGAACAGTTTCAGTCCTGGAAGAAAAAAGTTCCAGTTACGCAGGGTAGCTCATCTCTCAAGAGCCTGTTTTTAATCATAACCTCTACAACTCAGTGTACACCTCATGCTTTACTACTTGGATAGTAGTTGCCAACTGGATGAAAACCTGACTTGGTATTTTCCAGTTGATGGGAAAACTTTCTGAAGGATATTTTCTTGAACAGCACAAAAGCTTAGCATGAGCCTTCCTAGAAATGAAACACAGAAATCACTGCTTCCATTAAATGCGCTCACTCGCTCTAGACAATGGGAGCCTCAAACCAACACCTTGCTGAACCCTCTCAAACTGTGCAGCAGGGCTGCTTTAGACACAGGCAGAAAAGGCAATTGCTAAGAGTAACATTTGTCTGGAATGGCAAAACAGCCCTGCTGCCTACTGGCTTTGGCTCTACCACTTGCCTCACCAGCTTGTGCCAGCCCCAACATCCACCACCCACCTTCTGGGCGGTGGAAGCAAAGCACTCCACAGTGTTGGTGGGCTCCTCTTGCTGTGGGGATATGGCATGTGCCAGCATGTCCTGCTACACAGTGCTATTTACTTCTCAGCCTTGATGTGGCAAGACAGTTTAGTCTGCATCATTGAGATGCTTTGAGCTAGCTCTGCCTGGCACTTTTTATGGAGCCCCTTTGGCACAGCGGCTTGCAGAAGCAGGTTCAGATACTGCTGAAGTGGAATTTGTCTGGAAAAAAACACCCAACTATTCTAATTTGAATCTTAAAAGAAGACAGAAAATAAAGATAGATCACTGTCATTCCCCCTCGTGGTTTCATTCTTACTGAGGGGTAGCTTCAGCTGCCTCCACACCATAATGAACTCAATTTCAGCCCATGCTTCAGTGAGAGCTAACATGCAGTGTATGTAATTGGTACCAACTGAACCAAGGTCTTGGAAACAGGGTTTCACCAAGGTTAGAGTGTGGAAGGAAAAGATCCCCCTTTTCAACTGCAACATCCTGTCTTGTGTGCTGATGTCAGAGAAAGAAAGTGACCTGTTAGGGCAGAGGAGACAGGAAACATGGTGTGTTTCTCTCCCGCTGCGCTGCTGTAGCTGACACTGCCATGTATAGAACAGGTGGCTGATTTCTCCATAGCAGTTTGACAGTCCTATCAAAGGGGATTCCTCTGCATAGCTATGCAGGTGATGAAGAGACAAAGTAATTTGTTTCCCATGGATGTCTCAGGGCAACCAAGATTTGGACCTACTTTCCCATTCTGAACATTGAGTGCAGACTGCCAAACAGAGCATATACTCTGCTAACACTGAACCTCTTAAAAATCTACAATTTGGTGACATGAAGCAGACAAATTATTCTTGCAAAGCTGAAAGTTGGTCAGATAAGCTTGGATATTGCACTGAAATAAGTAGGGCTCCTAGGCTCAATCTTCAGCTATTTCCAAGGCTGAAGAACAGAAGAGTTTATGGTTTGTTAGAGGAATGTCTGTTCAGCTTGAATCTAATACTTGATAGTGCAGTGGCCAGAAATCTGAGCCAGAATAAATACATTAAATTTGGGTTTTCTTTCATTCTTGAACTATGGCCCTGGTTTGTGAAATACTTAGTTGTTCAAAGAACGAAATATTGAGTCACCAAAAGTGAGAGCTGTGGCACTGAGTGGGAGTGAAGCCATTGGAAGTTCTCTCTGTCACAGGTGACAAAGTAGGAGAAAAGCAGCTTTCCTCAGCTTTATCCTTTCATGGCCCAAACAAGTAAAGTCTGACAGATTCCACTGGCTCTCTAATCAGGCCTGAGGTGCTTGGGTGTGATGACAATAAGTATTAGTCATGATCACAATGTTATTTGTCCTGTAGATACAGCTGGCCTTTGTACTTGGATAATGAGTGTCTCACCAGGGAAAGTTTGGGCATTCTTCAGAGTCGCAGCAGGAAAGAGGGTAAAGATCTCTCCTTGTCTTCTCTGGTTCTGCTGAATCACAGTCCCAGCAATCCCAGGATACAGGAATTTTTCCTCAACAACTCTCCCAAGGAGACAGGAGAGAACGAAGGAAAGAAGCAGAGCTGTGGGTTTCAAAGAGCAGCCTGCAGCTCTGCGAAAAGCCTTGCAGTTCAGCTGCTCTCCTGCACTTTGTGTTGCCGTAGGAGGAGACGGCACAGTGCTAGCCAGCAGAGTGAAACTCCACATTGACTTCAACACAGGGGAAAAAGTGTTTCAGTCCTAACCAAAGCACTGCTGGGTTTTCTATTAAAAACACCCCAACAAGGCTGTGAATTATGCCCAATAAGTTTAATAATTGATGAAACCATAGCAAGTGACAACTACAAAATACAAAGCAGACACGAAAAACGATGGCATGAAAGTGGGAAGGAATAGTGTCTGTGATGAAAAATGAAAGCAAAATACACTTAAGAGAGGATATGGGTTCACACGGTCACATACAACACTGCATTAGTAACAGCACACACAGATACTCATTATACTGGGGGCTTTCACAGTTCTCCACTTCATCCCAGATGACAAGTAAATTGATGTTTTTACTCTCTTACATAAATTCTTGTGCACACAACATCATCAGCACCAAAGGTCTGGAAAAGAAATAGAAATCAATCAGAAGAGATGGAACCAGCAAATATTAAACATCATTTTTTAAAGTAATTTTCACCACAGTTGCTAGTTGTACAGCAGAAATACATTTTCCTATGTCTTTTGACAGATGAGAGTAAAAAAAGGAGTCATTCTGGAAGAGGAAAAGTGACCTTCTTTCCAAGGCCCAATGAAATTTGTCAGAATGATAAATGACACAGAAATTCCCTTTTTCTATAGTTTCTTGGCACGCGTTTATAAATAAACATGAGAAAAGAAAGAGAATTTGGAATGTACTGTTGTTATATCTAGAAACAGTTGCAGCACTTTGAACTGGCAATGCTGAGGGTGGAATTCAGATAAGGTATTCTTTGATATTTGCAGGTATAAATCCCAGCAGTTCAAATGAAGTCAGCGGAGCAATGCTGAAGATCAGGAGAATGTATACCTATAACCTGTAAACACAATGCTGCTGCAAGATGATGACACACCATGCTAGGATACCAAAAGCCTCTCTTCCAAGCTGTAACATGGGCAGCGTTAATCACAACCTTCTTTCAGGATGCTGTGACCTTAACAAGTGAATATGTTCAGTATGATAAAGGTCTGAAATGAGGGCACATACTGGAGAAAAATGTAGTGGAGATCAAACTCGTTTCACATGACTAAACACCTATGATATCTCACAAACACTTGATCACTACACATCTGAAAGTCACTGACTTACTACAGACTATGCCCCATTATCATCCCATTTCTTACACCAGGTTCAGTACTACAGAGTACCTTGATTTTACAGATACTTAGAGCTGGTGTTCTATGAAGTTATACCATTGACTGAAACAGAGTTTCAGACATGCCTGCATTTTTTAAATGGCTCTCTAGTTCTGCCCTTAAAAGGCAATTCTAACCACAGCAATATTGCAGTCTAGATTGTCAGGACATTTAGGCAGGACAGGGATTGTGGCAGCTGTCTGAGAAAGCTGCCTAAACCCCAGTGTGTGTGTGTATGGAACTTCAGGTCTGGCTGGCTAAAATCTAAGCAACCAATTGAACATGAAGGAAATAATGGGTGCAAGAGTGAGGAAATACTGACTGCAAAAAACTTCGTATTCAGCTCCACTGGTGGTTTTGAGATCACCACTAACAAGTTGTGAGGTGGGACGTTTGGCTGCAAGGCCAAGGTCTCACTGAAAAATATAATTAAGACCTACCCCAGTGTGCTATGAAAATTCAGCTGGACTTTATTTGTTTTAATGCTTTCTATGACCGTTTTGGCCAACACCTCTTTGAAAGGACTTGGCTTTAAAACTGACTCTGGCTTATATTTTGTTCACTTTATTGAGGAGAAAAGTCTGTTAGTATTTTGGAGATACAGGCTTTGTTTTTATGCATATAAAGAGCTGATCATATCAATCTTTATATACATATTTAGCTTATACATTAAAATGTCTGAAAACAAATGTTAAAGGATGCAGATAGTCCTCTATTGCCCGTAGCACCAGCTGCAGTTAAAGGATGCAGATAGTCCTCTATTGCCTATAGCACCAGCTGCGAATACCCTTGCTATGGCTTCCTTCAACATTTCCAAAATTATACACAAAGGTGGAATTATTTTGGCAGGAGCTTTGCCAGACAAAGCAAGTCAGAATCAAGACTGTCCATGACTAGAGGTTGTCTGTGAAGACTGGAAGGTCACTGTGACAGTGGTTGTCTTTCTAGGGTACATTCAGACCCTGCTAAGTACAGTGATGTTTGGGTCCCCTGCTGCTATTTCAACACAAATCATAAATAATAGTAAGCCAGTCTTTGTGTCGTGTTCCTTAAGAGCTGGCATGGCCCCAGGCTGACAGTTGGAGCTGCACAGCTACGCAGCCACATCTTGTGATGTGAGTGGGTGCCACATCAGCCAGTTCTCATGAGAAAGGCTACAGCAGCGGTTTGCCAAAACTTGTGTAACCTCCCTAGTAAATGTATGTCTTTTCGGGAAATTGAGAGACAAACTCCTTTCCCTAAACCTGTGCACCAGCAGTAATTCTCACAACAGGTCAGCAGTTGTATTGAGAGGGAACACTGCAGGGAAAACCAGACTGAAGTAGATGTGATCCATACTGCAAGTCTATCCTAGGGTGCCACTGTACGCCTGAGTGTTGAAATTCTAGTGTCCAGTTCTGAGACTGTGCTCCTGGGCAGAGCTTGCTCCTAAGACATTAGTGTAGTCTGATGGGCAACTTCCTTGCAAGACCCACAGGAGAGAGTGAAAATAAAGATAAGAGTTTGTGGAGGAGGGAAAAAGAAATAGTAACATTCTGGGAAAGCTCAGTAGCATGAGTGCATCCAGAATACATTGCAGAGGCAGCAAGGCTGCTGTGTGTACACATAGACTGACCGTGGTGCACTCACAGAGTCACAACTTGACACACTTGTGGACAAAACGCAATGGCTGTTTGTTTTGTGCTTCCAACATCCAGCTCCAGCTGGACTTCTGGACTCTTAAAAATCTCAGGCAATGGTCTGCCTTCAAATTGCTCTATCAGTACAAAGATTAAGTGCAGAAAACAGACATACCTAGGGAACCCAAATACATGGTAGTCTTAGTTGCTATACACAAGGATTGTCATCTCTTCCACACACCAGTCTCACAGTCTGCAAAACCACTAATTTAACACAATAGTATCTTTAAATCTAGATAGCGAAGAGATAAAATTCATGCAAAGCCCAATTATAATTACTCTGGAGTACCACGTAGCCACTGGGCACTTCTCAGATAGCCAGACCCAGCTTAGGTGATGTGGGCTCTGACCTGTTTCAGGAATAGGCTGCATTTTTAGCACTTAGATTTTATACCTTTTACCTGTCCAGATGATCAGCAAGTGAATTCCATACTGAAGCACATAAATAAATGGCTTTGATTGTAACAGCTATGTACATTGTTTAAATGTGGACTTACGTAAAAGGTGTTTCCCTATCTTATTGTAACTTACTAGCATTGTTGATAAACTCCATTAAATGTTGCTAAACAAAGCAACCATGTTCAGACTTGCTGCATTCCTTTTCTTGTGCTTTCTCACAGAAACATCTAATGTACAGCTGGACCGAAGCTCAGGGCAAGGTCCAAACCAAAAGGCTGTTACTCCTCTATCCTTCACACTTAAATCCTTGTATTCAGGGGTAGGATGAAGCAGTTCAGTGACTATGGTTATAGTTCTAGACTGGAAAAAAGTGATAGGAGTCCATGAACCAAAGGAGTAGAACTTCCTAATAAAAACAAAGACAGCGAGGCACCCTGGCTATTTGGTGGTGAAGTTCCACCAGAGGAACCAAAAAAAAAAAAGTGCAACACTACCAAACCACGAGTCAAATCTAAGGAGAAGATGCAGTATTTTCAAACATCACCTTCTCATCAGCTTGCAAAGGTCCCACTTATCTTACAAAATGCTACAGGGCAAGGCTTCTCTCTAAGTCTAAAATAGGATTTTAAATGTGCAATGACTGCAAATTACAGAACTGTTTTCTTCACTTAGCTTGTCATAACCTGAAGCTAAGAGTCCAAAAGCACACTACAAACAAAGGCCTCCACAGCAGGATTAAACAAGATTAAATGAGAATTACATGGCAGTAATATATTACTGTATGAGTAAATCTGCTTTTTGAAGGCCTTTATAAACATTTGCTGAGGAGCCTTTGTGATAAGTGGAGCACACCGTATAATTAGGAAGACTGTCATTGAAACAATCACCTGGGAAGGATCACTTCTGCCAGTGCATGCAAAAATCCTGTTATCTGCTCATGACCGACCAACCCGCAGAGGCAACTTGCAAAAGGAAGACAGAATACATCAGCCAACAAAAGGAGAAAATAAGATATTAATGAAACGGGTTCTCAGAAAAGGCTTTGTCCACATGCCAACTTCCATCTTATCCAGAATAAAGACATAAATCTTCACAATAAAGGCATATTGCATATTTCCTTTCTCCGCCTGACTCCCATAATGTGTTATGAAAGAGATCGATCATTACGGGGCTGTGGTCACAGAAGGTGTATCCTGCACTTTCAAACTTGGAAATTAATAGCAAATCACCCAATACACGACCTCACTTTCTGCAGGATATCAATAGACAGGACCATGGAAAATCAGGTCATTTATCAAGGTACCGAAATGCTGGTATTTGTGTTTGAGAACCGCTATGTTATACAGTTTCCTCAGAGCCATGCAGCAAATGAATGACAGAGGTAAGGACATGAGACAATGGAATCTGCCAGTAGTAGTCTTGAAAGCCAGTACCCAGCAAACATTGAAGCTACAACTGATGTTATAAGAGGCTACATCAGATGCATCCAAGATGCAAATGACTTTGGCTTATTTCTCTGCTTATATGTTTGGGATGTGACCCACACCTGGCTGTACTAGTGAGCAGGGGCTGCAGATCCCTAAGCCCCCTTGTAAATCTGCTCATGGCAAAGACTAAATTCAAGCATTAGGTCTATGCAACACACATGTATGCATTATTACAGGCTTCTGAACTTTCATCAAGGCTGCTTCAACGAGGTCAGCAGCAAAACCCCCCACTGACCTCAGTATGAGTAGACCCTCCTTTTGATAACTGATTTTATTTGAGAGAGGTCTCCAAAAACTATACAAAAGTTTAGGTAGTTCAATGTTGCTCAGTACAAGGCTTAGGCACATCACAAATTTCAGCATTCGGCTGCAAAGTATCTTTCCAAATCTGCATTGGCCCTGCTCACCTACTATGTTTAATTTCAGAAGCCAGCAATATAATTTAAAAAATGTTCACTCATTCATCTGGGCTCCAGTTCAACAGTTTTAATCACCTATGGCATGATTTTTCTGGGGAGGGAATGTAGAATAGAAGCCATGCTTGAAACCCCCCTATTGTTCTGATCTTTGACCCTTGCTATAATTGATTCTGAGAACCCCTGTGTGATACGTGAACTGTGTAAAATGTGGTCTGAGGCTGTTTTTAAAGCCCCTCTTCAGTAATCATCCACTTTAAAATGTTTGTGTGTTACATATTAAACTAAAATGTATAGATGCATGAGCAGCTATGAAAGCAGCAATGCAGATAAAGTTTGAATAGAAATGTTTCTCATTTGAATAGCTAACAATTGGAAGCAGCATCCTTTAACTTTGTAAAAGCAGACCTTTTGTTCTTCTGACTTGCACAAGTGATTTATAGGTCATTAATGTCCCTGACAAAAACACAGCAACAACAAAAACATTATAGAGTATAAAAGAAAAGGGAAGAAAAAGTATATTAGAATAGACTTCATCCCAGATCTTACTTTTCAGACAAGTAAAGGAAATATATATTTTTGCATTATGTTCTGACTTTTATTGCTCAAGTGCTAATCCAAGCATCGTTTATGAATCTGGAGCTGTAAACACGGATATTCAGACTCTCTGTATATACTACAGTCTTAAAGCACAATACAATATAAAGATACAGTCAAGACAAACAAATGTGGACTTTGATGGGGATCTATGCTTTTCACCCTCCCTTGCTTGCATATTCCATGTAATTTTTTTATCTACATTGTTCAGTACTTCTAAAAACACAGCACTGAAATTCCAGCAAGTGCATCAGATGAGATCAGAATAAACAGCACTGACAAAGAGTCGCAATGTTCTAACACATTCACAGCACCTTTTTTATAAAGCAGAGCTTGATCCTTCTTCCCTTACTCAGCTGAAAGGACTCTTTTTCCAACAGGACTTTAGAGCTACGTCTGCCATTGTATGAGTCAAATACTATTGACGCTACTACTAAGCGTAGTCTCATTCTCCATGCTGCAAGGAGCTGAGGAGAACTAAAGGCAAACTTAACTGGTACCTGAAGGTAAAGAAAACCTTGGCTAACTAAACAGTTTGTTCCCAGCATCTGTGTACCAGAGGACGTGATGTGACATGGAAGACCATCATATTGCTCCAAGGGAGTATCTTTGAAGAACATAAGGAATTCTTCTGCCAGGATACAAGAAAGATTGATAATCATACAGTAATATGGTTTCTATTTTAGCTCTGTGGTAGTCATGACAATTCAACACTGATTTTTTTTTTATTATATGTGATAATAAATGCATTTTATTTAACATGCTGTGTTGGGGAGAAAAATATATCCTTCCACTAGGAAAATGTCATAATCTAATGGACCCCCTAAGCAATGCAGCATATTAGATCAAAATTATGTGGCAAAGCTCCAACATGTATGCAGCCAGTATTAGCAGAATAAAACTCATTCCTTACCCCCTGCCTGTTGCCCCAAGCCTTTTTTCCATTCACGCCTCAGTCTAACACAGTTTAGATTCCTTCTTGCAACTTTTTCCAAATAGGGTATGAGTTTTCTTGATTTCTTCTGCAAATGCACGTAATAGCTAAGAAGGAGACTCAAGACTTCTTGAAATATTTCTTTGTATAGGGAAACAGGAGCAGAGACTGTGAGAACAGGTATCAGCCCTACAGAGTTCCTAAAATGCTACATCACAGGCTCTGCCCCATAAGACAGCTTCCCAGCTGTAAATGTCTAGAAGTTCGCAAGAATATGGTTTCCTTCTGCTTATTTAAGGTGCTGGGCCAGAATGGAAATAGGAAAAGCTTACCAAAGCACATCAGAAAGTGTAAAGGAACAGAAAATATTTCTTAGGTAAGTAGGGAGGTTTGAGAAGCATGAAGATGGAAATTTTAAAATGTTTGAAGTGATACGTGCAGCAAAACTGAATGAGAATGAATTTCAGGTCCTAAAGTACTCTAACAAAGCTGGGAGGACAGAAGAAGAAAGAAAGGAGAAGACAAAGAAAGATCCCTTCTTCTCACTTTGATCTTAGTTTTGAAGAAGTAAGATGTAAGTGGGGACTTGCAGACTCAGACCCAAGGAAAATTTCCAAGCCTAACATAAAATAATCTAAGTTCAATCTTTCTTCACGGGAGTGATGAAAAACCAAAACACATTTGAGAGGCAAGAGATCAAAAGGGATCACAAGGTCTTCTCACGAAGAGCTCTTATTCCTACTTTGTTCCCTGTTGCAGCTGAGGAATGCACCTCAGCCAATCCCTGCAGTCTTTTAAAGCCCAAATAATGGTCTGGAGAGAATATTCTAAAATTAGGGGCCATGGACAAGAAAATGTAGCCTCCTTTACTCTCTTCTGTCTCCCTCCAAACAGTAGAACCATTTGCTGCCTCCCAGAAGGGTTACTTTTGGCCATCTTAATTTCTGCAAAGGACCAGAGACCTCACGCTCACCACCGCTACTCTTAGAAACACCTCATTGGTGAGCTTTAGGGTGTCAGAAGATGTTGAACATGTTGACCATGTATGTAAAAGATTTGTACATTCAGTCCCATCAAATGTCCTGAGGTGCTTGAAAATCTTTGTCCTGAGGACCAAGTAATGTCCAAATATTTAATAAAGCAAAAGAGGCCATGCTGCTCCAGAAAAGAGTTAGGAGAATGGAACTGCATATCATATTAAATAGTAAAAGACAGAGAGAACTGTCTGGATCACTTGGAAGCAAACACTATGTTTTCATAATGGCCATGGTAAAATCGAACATTGCAACAAATTAACATAGTCCCAACTTGCAGGAGAGGAGAAGGGGACCAGTCTAGGGAATCAGAAACCAGTAAAATTACTTGGGATCACGATCAGCTGAGCACGAGCTCCCAAAGAAGAGTTAACAAAGTCTTTGCATATAAATCAGAATAATTTCAGATAAGAGTAGGGAGGTGAAGTCACCACTACATCAGGTGCTAGTGTGATTGCTGGCAAACCAGTATGTGCAGTTCTGGTGTTCGTAGTTTAGAAAGGAAACTGATAAATTGGAGGGGGCTAGAGAAGCATCGGAAGAATGATTCAAGGAAAGCTTGCTTTATATTGAAGGGCTCAAGGTCTTCCAATGGTTTAGCTTAACAACGAGAAGGCTCTTCCAAGGGGTGACTTAATCAGTGTTGTTAAGAGAAGTATTTGCAATAATAAATTTTAAGCATATTATTTAGGTTCTTTTACACACAGCATGTAATGACTGGAAGTTGAATCTAGACATATACAGATTAGAAATAATGTGTACATTTTAATGGCAAGGAAATTAACCAGTAAAACAACTTATTGAGACTTGTGATTGAGTTCCTGTAAACAGAAATTTTTTAATAAGAAGGAAGATTTTTCTAATTTATATCCTATTTTGAAAAATAATTAATTCAGAAAAGCTCAACCGACTGTATTATACAAGAAAAAAGATGAGATGGCTTTATAATATTTGAATCGCTCTGGTTTCTTAACCAACCTCATTCTTCTTCCCCAGCTGGGTAAATTCACATTGCTGATTGCAGCAGGCAATTGTATTATGACTGGCTTTCTTGCTTTGCTTGGAACAGTTCACTTTGTTTAAGAGCTGCCTCACTAGTCTGTTGCTTAAATAATAAACTACAAAAATGTATTGTTAGAAAGCTGGAAAAATTATAGTTGAGAATATATCTTGTCTGCTGCATTATATATAAAGTGTGAAGCAGAGCTCAAAGTACATTGCCTCCTCGAGTTTTTTGATCATATAAAGAATTTCAGTGGTTGAGTCAAAAGAAATGATCCAGAATTGGAGTTCAATTCTGTTCATTCAACAAAAACCAGTGTGAGTTCACTAACAGCATACACGTCTTCATAAGGGGTGGGTGAACAGTTCCAGGATGTCTGGAATAACATTAACACCTTAGAAGCTTTTTGTTTATACTTGGTTAGGTTTGGGTCCTGTTTTTGTTTCAGATGCAATCTTAAAAACAGAACTGCTTTAGAGAAATACTGGGGAGGCTGTTTGGTTTTTAAAGTGCAGAGGTTCAGTTACTGTGATAGTCTGAAATAAAACCTCCTTGCTTTGATGTTTTCTTACCCATCACTCAAGCAGCCTGTCTTCTGTGCCCAAACTGATGAGCTGTACCAGTCCAATGAACTATCTATCTCGAATTCACCAGTAAGAACATGTGCAATAAAATGATTCTGAACTCAAGCTGAACAAGTGCTACTTGTAACTCAGAGAAACTGTGTCTTTATCCAGTTCTGGATATTGTTTCCTTAACATAGAGGGACTACTGAGGAAAAACTCAGTGAAGAGAACTCAACACTAACAGAAATAAATACAATATAAATAAATAAACTGCACATGTTTCGTGGCATAAATGGCAAGGCCATTGCAGAGGTGCTACTTAGAATGCCCACCACAGGAACCCTGCTGCCATATGGAAGGTCCCACAGGAGTGGGGGGAAGTTGGCTGACAGCAAATGTGCAAATCAGTGTATTTCTGAGAAACTCATAAAGGCAATTTTGAACTGGATTTAGAGATGATCAAGGAATTGGGGAAGGTGGCAGAGATGGGGGAGGAATTATGTGTTGTTCATAAACAGAATGATATTAGAGCATGCTAACAACATGCCACATCTTTCCTGCTGTACACCATGTGATTGTGTGTAAGAAGCAACATATGCATATGCCTAAAAAAGAAGGTTCTCCAGAAATGAGGTAAAATGCCTTGATATCACTTTCACCAGAGAAAATCTGCAATAAATCAAGCAAATTATTTGGTGGTGGTATGAATTTACAGAGCAGAAGTGTCCCACTTCTGATTATTCTGCCAGTAAATGTATGGCAAAAGTTATAGCAATAACATGCAAGTCAGAACCTGCATATATCTTAATTTGTTCTTAAAAAAAATAAAAAGAAAGGGGAAAAAAAGTGATGTGTGAATTGTCCTATAGAGGATTATGAAAATGGTAGTTTTCCAGATGGATTTAGGTAAGGGAAAATAGTCATACCACACGGTAACAAAAACCTGTTAGTATGGTGCTTGTCTTGGGTGCGGTCAAGGTTCTTACCAAAATCAGCTCATCATTAGCTAGTTCTCGGGTCCAGTATGTTTTGGGGCCATCTCCCTCAATGAGAGTTTGTTTGCAATAGATCTTGTTTTCATTCTCCCAAGTGGCCAAACTCTGCAGGCAAGAAAACCATTAGGAATAACATTAATTATATTCCCCAGAAGCACAAGGCAGAGAGACAACAATGAACAGTAGTGAGAATAATTGCTGCAGTAAAGGAGCAACACATAGACAGATAAAGGAAAAAGGAAACAGACATCAGTGGAAAGTGGTGAAATCATCATTATTTTAATAACCGAGTAATTATGAATGTGTCTTTTCAATGTAAATCCACATGTATTTCCAACTTAAAAAGCCACTCAGTTTTCATGAAAAGCTTGATGTTGAAAAGTGTAACTTAGAAGCATGCGAGAATGTAGTGTTGACATTCCCAAGCATCTTTGTACACATGTGGTTTGATCCGACATGTTATTTATCACTATAGAGTGCCCTTAGTGTAAACGCATCAAGAATCATATGTATCATTTTGTGGTCATAAATAATGCAGTATTGGTCACTTACAACCTTTCATGCTATATGGCACCATGCCAAGTTAACTGTATATTAAACAATTATTGTGCCAACAAACTGGAATAAATCACAACTTAAAGAAACTTTGTTAGAATTCTAGTGTTTGCAATATTACTTTTTTAAGGTTGTGGGTCTGGAGATTGAAATACCCTTGGGCATTTTTCAAAACATTTCAATAATGACTATGAAACCACTGAAAAATAAAAAAAACCCAGAGGATTTTGTTTAGCTTTCACACACAGGCAAACCCTGACTCTGTTGCTTTTCATTCAAGCACTGAACTATTATTCTACATTGCAATGGAACAGCTGTGCAGAAGGATGCCCCGTAATGAATGTGCAAGTAATTGCTTTATAACTAGCACATGGGAGACATTCATTAGTCTGTGATTATATACATATACATGTGTGTGTGTGCATATGTATGCATAAATTCCAGTTAATGCTTCCCAGACTTTCCAAGGGAAAAAAGCTTTACTTGGATTTAAAATTAGCTGTTTACTTTATAAAGATTTTTTTTCAAAACAATAGGTTTTTAAGCCACCAAGCCATCTCAAATGGTAGTATAGAAGCCTTGCAGTACATCTACATATGACTCGCTCTTTGTCTGTATGAACAATGGATCAAGTTAGTTGGCAGAACAAAACCCTCCACTCCATAAAGTGTATCAAAATCTGTCAGCAGTCAGCAATTTTTGCCAGATATTGCAAATTACATTCTGAAGTCTTATTTTATTATCTGTCAGTTTCTGCTCTGTGGCCACATCTTGGTTATATACACACAGCAGTACAACTTATTCCTGAGAGTGGACTATAAATAATTTCACAACACATGGAAAAAATTTACTACTTCACAAAACACATTTCTTTCAGATTTTTCCAACTTTCATAGCTTACAGATGTAATTATTGTTTTTCCATCTGCAGCAATAAATCCTTCTCTAGAAAGCGGGTCACATTTATTGTATATGCATTATGCATGAAGACACTAAAATACTACTTTTGCCCAACAAGATAAATTAACAAAGCCAGCAACATTTCCTGAACAAACTGTTAAATATACGATAACTCATCCTAGAGATCAAGTGGATGTTCTAAACGTTTACTGACTCCCAGAATCTGCCTCCCTTTTTCATAATTTTAAATTCACAGCAATTGCACTGGAGATAGTAAGTTTTGAATTTTTAGTGGTGCAAATGGTCTCAGAAGCTGGGCCAAGCCTTAGCAGAGACCATATTTTGAGAAGTACATTATTTCACTATCATCAGATACTTTTAAAACTGTATTCTCAGTTGGGGCTACATTCTGATACTCTTTATTCATGCTTCTTTTATAAGTGTGTTATATATACTTCTCTTATAAGTGTGAAAATAAAGTGCCTGAGGGAAGGATAACTAACCCATGCCTTTGATAACTTTTTTTCAAGAGACAGCTATGATCACAGCCCAGTTCTGCAATATTCTGTATCCCATGTATGTACACCAGCAAGAAGCCGATGTTGGATGCTGCTGACTTGGAGCCCCTGCCATGGCCAGAGAGGGGCTCACACACAGGATCAAGCCCAAAACACTCCAGTGAATGCCCTCTAACGCACTTCTGCACAAGGAGATGGTGTAATTACAGCTGGTGTAACGCTAGCTGAAAGTCTGTCTTACACTGTTAAAGACTTATCTGACCAGGAGACGTGCACTTGCAAGGGAATGAAAGAGGATTTCAGCCCCTAACTACCAACAGTTTGCGGTCCTAATTGTGAACTCGGCTGATGCAGTTCAGGACAAAAGTTATGTCAGGTTCGTGCACTAAATCCTGACTCCTGAGGTCTCTCTTGCTCTACCATTCCCTATGTTCCCATCAGGGACAGGGGGTGGGGAAAGCTTTCACTGCAGCTGAGGTCTCCAGGGGAGACAGAAGCAAAAAGAGCTGGACAATACCCTCCCAGCCAAGGAGCTGGCAAGCAGGTACTCCAACTCTGCCTTTGGGACCCACCATGCTCTGTTGCCTTCAAATTTCAGTTTTACCCTGCAAGAGGGAGAATGTTGGACGAGGGACAAGAGGAGTGGTGACCACCAAGAATCCCTAAAGACAAGGGTGGAGGGCAGTAATGCCACTGTCTGCGGACACCGTCAGCAGATGAGTTTGTCCCATCTAAAAAGAACTTGGTACCACACACACACACACACACACGCCCGAGCTCTCCTCCTACCCTGCACTTTCGTCCATCCACCGTCTCCTCCTCAAAGCTCTCCCCGATTTTGAAGTTGATCTCAGTGGTGCGGACAGTGGTGGAAGTTTTGATGTAGAACTGGTCCCCATCCTGGCGGATCTCCACGTGAGGTTTGGAG